AGAGGAGGGAGATGTTTGATTCTTATTAAAAATACCACCATATATTTTAACTATGTGTAATGAAATTAATGATGAACTGTGAAAATTCAAAAATTTAAATAGGATCCCATTATTTACAGAAAAAAATAAAAATGAAATAAATACTACATGGAGCTGTTGGGGAAGTGCTTTTCTGAATACACAAAGAGGGTTTTTGTTGTTGTTGCTGTTTCTCTCTAGTCTCTCACTTGAAGATAATGCCAATTGCAAAAATTTTTATAAGGTCACTACCAGCCAATTGTGTAAAAGCAAAAACACAAAGACATTAGTGTCAATACCAATTCTTATGTAGCAAACACCAAACTAACCCTGTCTGATTCTGAATGGTAGCAAGAACAAAACTAACAATTTCTAAAATGGGAATATCTGGATTTTATTACAGTAAAATAAAGATGTTAAAATGTTATTGAAAGCAGTTGTCTTTCAGTTCCTTCCCATGTATGGAGTGGTATTTGTCTGATGCATTTCTGTCTTGTCTTCCCAGGGTAAATGTCAGCAGTCACTTTATGGTCACATGCATTCTATCAACGACGCCACCTTCACTCCTAGGGTGAGTTCAGTTCTCGTACTGTAACATGATTGCTGAGGAATCCTCCTACTGTATTAATTTTTTATTAATGAATTTCTTTTTCATTTCAATGAACATCTACAGAGATTTTTGGAATTCCATTCATTCATTGTTTCACCCTTCTCCCCGCACAAACTCCTCTCCTTGAAAAGCAAAAGAAAGACTCCCTCATTGGTACACAATCCCTCCCGCACATCCCCCAACCCCAAATATAATCCACTCTGCAACCCTCTTTCCATACTCATGATAAACATAATGCCCTAAAATATAATACTTTTAAACTATTCTCTCCCCCATAGACTTCAATGCAGTAAACACAATTCATCCAGTTTACTGTATTATTTTTAAGCAAACAGTTAAAACATATTGTCTGATTTGATCTTCAAGAAAGTAAGTACATGGTTGTTGTTAATTGCTGTTGAATCATAGTCAACCCATAACTGTCGCTCCAGCGTGTTTCCAGAAGTTGGAAAGCACACAGGTGGCTTTGCCCATGTTTCTCTGGTAGAACCACCTGCCTTTGGGTTGGTAGTTCAACTCTTTGGATTGGAGAATTGTAACCTCATCTTGCTTGGATCCACATTTAACACCCCTGGTTCCAGCAGTCAGGAAAAAAAGAGACACATTGCACTGGGAAAGTCTGTAGTTAGAGACCTTTCCAAATTATTAAGGGTAGTGATGTCAGTTCGAGGACTAAAGTGCATCTGATCCAGACCACAGTCTTTCCAATTGCTTGCAATGCTTTTAAATGCTGAACAATGAAAAGGGATGACAAAAAAAGAATTGACACCTCTGAGCTGTGATCACTAAACATCCCATGGATGGCCAAGAGAATGAACTGATATGTCTTGGAGGGAGTGCAGTTGGAGTGCTCTTTCGAGGCAAGACTAATGAGGCTTTGCTCCACATACTTTGGATATGTTGCTAGAAGGTGCTATTCCTTGGAAAAGGACATGATGCTGTGAAAGGTGAAGAGTCAGTGAAGGAGAAAGAGACCCTCAACCCGGTGGCTTGACATGGTGGCTGCTTCAGTGGGCTCTTGTGTGTCAGGAATTATGAGGATGCCACATGATAGAACAAGGTTCAGATCTTTTGTTCATAGGGTCGCTGTGAGTTGTACTTGACTAGACAGCATCTAACAATAACAACAATGATTAACGTGCTTGAACGGAAACCTAAAAATTAAAAATTTTCAAAATAACACTTAAGGCAGCAACAGTTTCTTTTTTTTTATTTGACAGATTTCAATTCCATGGGAGAAGGTTTCAGATGTGTCTTTATTCTTATAGACTGATGATATAACAGAAGTATTTTACTGATAACTTAAGGTATTAGAATATAAAGGTGGCTTGCCTAGTGATGAAGATTGTTAAACATTTCTTTGAGTTGCTAAGCTAATTGAGATATTATTGTTTTCCTTTTAAATTTCTTGGGTTTTTTTCTTTACATATCTTATTGGTTTGCATACAATCATTCATATACATTGTGTTTCTTGCATGTACATTGTGTTTAATACAATTTTCATTTACATTGTATTTTGTTCATGTGTATCATGGGGTTTCTCACCCTTAAAATCATCTTGCTAATAAGTACATTCGTGAAAGTGTTCAAGCCAGCTACTTCATGCCTCATTTCTTTTTTTCCCCCACTTTTTTTGTTAATTTCAATGAACATTTACAGAGATTTTGGATTTCCATTCATTCAGTGTTGCACTTTTCTCCCCACCCACCCCATCCCCACCCCCAGTTCGCTCTTCTCCTTGAAAAGCAAAGGAAAAAAAACTCCTTCATTGGTATACAATCCCCCTGCACCCCCTATCCCAACCCCAAGTATACTTCACTCTGCAACCTTCATTCCAAACTTTTATGATAATCGTAATGCCCTAAAATATATTACTTTTAAATTATTCTCTCCCTCATTGGCTTCATTGCAGTATACATAATTTATCCAGTTTTTCTCAATCTTACCCCCACCTTGATGTCAGCCTCATTCTACAAAAATGGCATCATACAGAATTTGTTCTTTTGTGACTCATTTCTTAATATCCCCATATTAGTCAATTCCTGATTTACCCATCCCTTTCAATCCAGTGCTCTAAGGGAATAAGCATATCCCTTTTCCTGAAGAGCCTTTTGTTCAATTTGGAAACTACGAGCATCTGCATCCATAAGCAAAGTCCAGTCCAGAGCAAGCCGTCACATTGCAGTAATCAGCCCTTGCTCAGAGCACAGATCATCTCTTCATCCGATTGGGTTCTGCTCAACACATACATAGCCCTGTGTGGCTTGGTTCACATGGGCATCAGGTGCAAACTCAGGAGTCCATAACTCCCCCTGCATTCCAGAACTCTTGATTCCTTCACTCAGGCTTAGCCCCCACATAAGGCCAAATCAATAAGCCAGGGGTCCTTATGACTTCCTACTTCTCAAGCCGAAAAACCTCTTTTGCTTATGCATATGTCTGTCCATGGTTGGCAGTGCAAGGAACACAGTGTTGAGGGAACGTGTCCGAGCGTAGCCCGTTTCTCTATTGTTGTATTCCTCCTACTTCCACTCCCGTGGATCCAGGTGGTCACTCTCAGGGAGCATACATGCCAGCTCCCTTTAACTTCAAGTCCTGGAGGTAGGCTCTGATGGACCCTGACTCTACCCTGCCTCAGAAACCAAACAGCTTGTCCCAGTTATAAGCAGTCAGTTAGAGAAAGGAAGATCTGTCCCGGAGATTTTGTTGCTGTTGTTGTTATGTGCTGTTAAATCACCTGTGACTCATAGCAACCCTGTATACAATAGCCCTAAATCCTGCTCTATCCTGTGCTTGTCTTACTGTCTATGACTCACCTGCCCCCATTACACCAGTCACTGAAGGGTCTTCCTTTCCTGAACTGTCCCTCCACCTTCCCAACCATGACGTCTCTCTCCAAGGACTGGTCCCTGCTTGCAACATGTCCAAAGTATGTCAGACAAAGATTCAGAATCTTTGCCTCCAAGGAACAGTCTGATTTCACCTTCTCCATGGCAGAGCTGTTTCTTCTCTTAGCAACCCATGATACATTCAATACTCTTCTCCAGCACCACAGTTCAAAAGCATCAGTTTGCCTTCTATCATCCCTAATCATTGTCCTGCTCTCTGATGCATAGCAAATAATTACAAAGACCTTGACCTGAATCAGGTGCACCTTAGTCCCCAGAATGACACCATGGCTCTTCAGTGCATTGTAGAGGTCTCTCCGATGCAATTCGTCTTAATTCCTGGCTGCTGGTGCCAAGAGTGTTGATTGTGAAGCCAAGCAAACTAAAGCTATTAACAATCTCAGTATCTGCACTGTCTGTCATGATGCTGCCCATTGGCCTAGTGGTTTTTTTATATTGAGTTTCAATCCATATTGAAGGCTGTAGTCCTTGACCTTCTGCAACAAGCTCTTCAGGTCCTCCTCAGTTTCAGCAAGCAGGGTTGTGTCATCTGCATAATTCAGATTGTTGATGAGTCTTCCTCCAATCCTGATGCCACATTTCTCCGCATATAGCCCAGCCTCCCAGATAATCTGTTCTGCATATAGATTGAATAAGCTTCTTAAAAGTGTAGTTTGGTAGTATATGCTGGGGCTTAAAGGAGGAAAAAGATTCAAATCCCACTCAGTACTCTAAGGAGATTTGCATTTAAGTAGATCCATAAGCCCACCTTGGACTTTTATTTGAAAGAAAGACAAGCAGGAAAAGAAAGAATTGAGATATTTTTTAAAGGTTTCTAGACCAACACTGCATAATACCACTGTTATAAAATAGGACTGACATGAGAGGTTGGGGGGAGAATACAAAAAGAGTGGATAGTTAATGAATACTGCTTTGGAACAGAAAGGGGAAATACTGTCTGAAAGCAATATATGATTAGGTATTATACGTGTGGCAACAATCTGGAACAAAAGGAAGTGGACTAGGGGAGGGAGGAAAGAGAGGGATGGAGGAAAATATACAATAGCGAATGAATTTAAAAAAATAGCAAATATAAAATAAAACTCTTTGAAGAGAAAATAAAAATAAACAGGTTCAAGAATAATGGATGGTTGGGTAAAATTTGTTCTTTCTTAGATGAACCATCAGATAGATGGCCTCTCATATCCTTTCAAGTTTTGTGATTTGAATATGGTTAACATTTTAATTTGTCTCCAAGTTCCAAGTCGAGTAAGAAACTTAATTCTTCTTCACTTTTATTTTACAATTAGAGAAAGAAAATCTGATAGATTGCTTACATCTACCTTCAGAATGACAGCATAGTCAAAATTCTCTAACTATCATGCTGTAATTATTCTTTTCGAAAAGGGGGGGAAGCTCACTGGAGATTATATCTATTAAAAGAATATTGATTGCTCCAACTGAAATTCTGCTTGGGGCATGTAAGCCTAGAGAATGTTAATGATAGACTCAACCACAATTATATTTTTACAGGTTTATTGCAGTAAAGAGTATTTTATGTTGTTGACTCCAGTGAGTAAATTAGTAGAAAAGTGTTCAATTATATGCTGGTTCTATACACCAAGTAAAATTTTCTTTCTAGCAGATCTGGTGGTCTATTGGCAAGAAGCTGTGCAGTCTGATTTCATATGATATAGAGTGCTTCTGTTGATAATCTATTATATAGCTTATCACGTACTAGGAAAATCCAGTGGAAGTGAATGAAATTTAACAAGTCGTTTCTAATTCAACAGTTTTGTTATGTAAGCAGGAATAGTATCCACTTCCTAAACAACATACCTCTGGAAAATCTATGAACTTTTTTGATAAATGATGATAGTCTAGAAAGGCTTCAGGCCTTTTGTTCATAGGGTCACTATCGTGCTTGACTTGACGTCAATCAACAACAATGTCATTGTGAAAAACAAAATTTAACATCTAAATATTAAAATTAATTCTTTTGGAAATAGCCAAATTGGATTTCAACTGATCAGCAATTAAGAGAGATGTACCTTAAGTATACATATTTCTAGG